CGGGTGTGGTGCAAGCGCAGATCGGCCAGGAGCTGTGAGGGTACACTGATACCGTACCGTGGGACATGACACTCCATCGTCTGTTGTGTGTGTTTACGGTACAGCGGTTGCGGTGCGATTTCGTCGGTTTGGAATTCGTCAGTCCAACACAACCATGCTTGATGGCAAACAACTTTATACGTGCGCAGTGCGGTGTTCCTGCTTGCCGAATTCCATTAGGGATTCTCAGTGATGTTTAGTCAAACATGTGGTGTGTGGGAATTTATGTCAGTCGATTGGGCTTCAAGAGGCTCAGGTTGTAAATACGTTGAGGGCGTCTTCATCCGCGTGAATTTATACTGACTGCAGAACATTCCATTGTGTCTGTGAATCTGCAATTTGCGGAAAGAAGTTGTTTACAAGGTCGTGGTTGTTCCTGGGAGCATTTGGCGCACACGTAGTGATAATTCCACGTTCCACATGTGTTGTTTAGAACTACCCAACCATCGCGTTTACTGCACGCATCAGATTTATCGTAAACTACCTGATGTTTTGTCGTGTGTGGTGGTATCCTGAGGGATACGGTACTGTACAATTGTGTTGTTTGTCAGTGCCCTTTGTTATTCCGAGCTCTGACCGACTGACGGCGGCACACCAGTGACGGCGCCATAGGACGCCGACAGACACATGTTCCACCAACATGCGGCACGACACCATGTCGTCGGAGCCTGGCACTATTCGAAAAGATGGTTGGAAATGTCAGCGGTCATTGTTGTCGCGTCATGAAGGCCTCCCAATTCCTTTTAAATCGTCCTTTCGCTGTGCATGTCGTGATCGCGGGGCAGGAATATTGTGTGCGTTGTGCCAGACAAGTTTGACAGTGCTAACCGGCGAAATAGTGACCGATTCACACACCAACTTGAAAACTAGCCGTAGAATCGGAGTTTTAACGCTTTATTTGGGTTCGAAGGTTGCATCAATCAAGGCGGAGCTCCCTGTCACAACACTCTCCGTAGAAATTGTAGCCATCCGCAGAAGAACACCAGGCTCACTAATAGCGATATCTTCGTATTCCCCTGTTCATACCGGCCATTACGGTATCAAACGCGTAGAACTTGAATGGCTGTGCTCAGCATTGGAGAGGAACAGACTTTCGTGTATCATCCTGGATCAGCTTGTATGAAAAGGGTGTTGTCGGCTGACTATATAAAGAGCGTGCTTGCAGCACCAAATGGAGTATTGTAGCGAAGGGAGCTTTTACCAACTTGCCACCTCTCGTTGTACCCGATCATGTAGCACACGACTGAGGGTGCGCTGGGAGGTGGCGACGGCTTGAAAATATAACATATCGACTATATATAATAGCATCACATGTTCTGCTATGCTCGGCCAGTGAATGAGGCCAAAAATTAGGCCGCATGTAGGTGGCCACAAAAAACCCGCCCGTCGAAAGGTGCATGCCGCCAAAAAAAAGGATGGATCATCGCCTGCGGACTGCACCGCGCTTTAAACGATCGCTACCACCAGACGAAGGTGAAATGTTTGTTGCTCGACCGTCTGTGGTACCGGTGTCTTGTCGACCTCCTCCACATCGTTGAGGACGACAAACAACAATCGAAAGTGATCATTGGCTAAATGGGAAGAACGCTGGCCACATGTCCTTCTCCGGTAATCGCCTGTGGCTGTGACTGAGGATATGTCCGAGAATCTGGGGTCACGGTCCTCCACCAATTGCCTTTGGTTACGATCGCTGCCAAGTTGGTTGAAACATACGCACGTAATTGCATTGCAGGCCTGCCGGCTTTCCGGCCTTGCCCATTCACTTCATTGCATTATCATGGGGCTCCAGCTGTTGAAGGGTACTCACTCAGAAACACCGCGATTGATCATTTAAATGGAACAAATTCCCTACATAGCCCTCAATCACAGTCACTCGTTGAGCGGCGATACGAACCCGCAGACGAAAGGAAAGCAGCCAATATACCTTGTAGAAAGAACACCCACAAAAGCACATCAATCTCAGGCTGTTTCTCTCCCCCCCTCTGCTTCCAGGAAGTCCTTTCCGCCTCCCTAACACCCGCACCTGCGTACTTTACAAGTATATAGTCAACAACAATATTTCACATCCGACCGTATTCGAAGCATGTAGAGCCCCGAAACGGTTCTTTCTTGTATTACTCTTCCCCTAATTTCCCTCCTTCCGAAAAGGGTTTATACCAAGTGTTGCACACCGTAATGAACAGCAGTGTGTCGCAGAGCACTTGCATGTTTTCACCATGAGCGAGCGACACGACCGGGACGCAAGTAACCACAAATGGACCAGCAGCAGAACAGCATAGGCGGGTTGTCAGCCCGCATGGCTACGCCGCTTCAGTACCAACCGGCACACCTCAGGGCCTTCGCGATGAGTCCTTCAAGATGCCTCCGTCTTTGCCCCAACGAAGAAGTCACAGAACAAGTCTCACCACCACAATAAGTAGTTGTTCGAACCCAGGCCGCGGTCCTAGACAACTGGCATTGCGGCACTTCGCCGGCTAGTACAAGCGCGGAACAATTCACCCGGGACCGTGGAAAAGTTGATGCTGAGCGTCATCACCTATTTGACACCAACCTAAAGCCGAACAAGAATAATTCCATGCATATATTGAGACGGACGAAGCCCCACCCCCTTTGCATAACACGCACAACAGACGATGGAGTGTCATGTCCCACGGTACGGTATCAGTGTACCCTCACAGCTCCTGGCCGATCTGCGCTTGCACCACACCCGACCGCAGTCGCTGCTCCCATGCTTGCCGAGGTGAGCATGGACACGGCGCCCGCGGTGCTCGAAGTCGGCTGCAGTGCTCCCTCCGCAACGGGAGCCAGACCCCTCGCCACTCTCGCCACCTTTGGCACCCGGCGTCGCCTCTTGCTTCTGCCGAGTTGCAAGGCAAGAGCAACGATCGATGTCGACGAGAACTTTGTCCAGGGGAACAACAACTTCGACGGCTTCGAATGGATCAGGCTCCTTTGCTTTGCAAACCGTAGTCTGTGCATTCAAAGTGTTCAACCACGAACCGTAAAATCAGGATCTCTGACTACTTTGCGCTTAAATATTGCTACACATCATTCTAAACACGGGGGACGAAGCGATCTGACTTAGCCCTCGAAAACAATCGATGTCGAATAGGCGTTCAGATATGACATGTGCAAGCCACCTGAGAAAGAAACAGTGACGATCATTGACAGCTACCTGAGAAACTTCATCCTCTCGTTCTTCTCAGCCTGCTCTGTCTCTTGCGCTTCCTTCAAAACCGCCTCCACTTCAGCCCTCTTGAGCATCACTGCGCCCTCGTCTCCGAGCCACGGGTGCTCTCCCGCCTGTCGTGCGGACATCCTCTCCGCCGGGTCGAGGACGATTAGCTGTGGGGGTACATAAAGCGTGGCCAGGAAATAGGGAAGATAGGCGGTGTCGTTTCGGCACCTACATAGTGTCGCAGGGTCCCGCAAGCCTTGGAAGCTCCCAACGTCAATACAGGTCTTGCACAGCCGACGTCTAGCAGACGTTACAAGACTCACGATCAATGCTCGCTGCATACGAATTCTACATTGTGAATAAATGTTCACTGCAGATCGGCGCAGTGTGTCCAATATCAACGAGGCCATCCTACACCAATGCTCATAACAGTTTAGTGCTTCGCTTATTCACACACAGATAGTTTAGTGTACCGTGCATGGCTTGTCCGCTTAGATACGTATTCCCTATTCCATTTACCCTCCCTGAGTCTTACCACCGCCCAACACATGATCAATATCAACATATATCGTCGCATGCCCATACACGCCACACTGCTCTGCACTGGGAGAAGACTACTTTACGCGTTGTCCATAACAACGCGCTTTCTCGATCCCGTTCACCTTCCTCAAGAAGTCCTCTCCCACCGCTCCGACGCGCTCAGAGTCCACCTTGAAGACCCCAGCTCGGATGTTCTCCCTCTCCAACTCATCGTACGGGTCAAGCCTCATTCGGATGTCCCCCCCCTCCTCGAGGCTCGAGATGTCCTTAGAGATCGGTCCCAGGTCGATGCTGGGGTCCGGGCTGAACTCCGCAAGAAGCGTGGGGGGAAAGCGGGAGGCGGGGGGCTCAGAAGCTGTACAAAAGTAGGGGTTATCTTCTAGTCGACGGAAAAACAGCATAGTGCACCCCCCGTACAATCCGTATCGTTTCGGGCACACTGGTCCCGACCCTCTGCGCCTGGCTTTGTAGGCGGTTCTACGCATGTTTACACTAGAATAGAGACACAACTGCAATTGACCACGAGGCATAATGTACCTCTAGTATTGTACCCACCAGAAGACCGTGGCCCCCATGAGAAGCTCGGACACCACCACGCCGGCAGCCCACATGTCGGCCTCAATCCCGTAAGGCAATTTGTTCACCTGCTCTGGGGATAGGTAGGGCTGGCGGTAGGGTGCCGCCAGCAGAAACAACGGGAAGACCGCGGGTGTTGCATGCAGCGCATGAGGTACGTGACGTGTACAACCGACCCGTAAACAGCCACACAACAAGTTGCCGCACGTCGAACGGTTTCACAAACCAGTAATCGGGCAACATCATCCCACCTTGGTACCACATAGCCCGGTCATGGTGGTCTCTCCCTCCGCCAGCATCTTCGAGAACCCGAAGTCAGCGAGGCGAACTTGCATGTCTGTGTTCATGTCGGTCAACGTGTCCATTTCGATGACGTTGCGGGCGCAGAGGGGAGGGAGCGGTAGGGATCATCGACGTTGTTGCCCCTACATGTACCTAGCGCACCAGTCGTGACTCGTTGCTCCTCTCCGTTGCAGAAAGCTCACGTACAACTATTGAAGCAAGGAACGGGACGGAAATGCTCCCAGCCTTGCAACGGACCAATCGCCCAAGCGCCGGACCATGTCACAACACCGAGGCCAAGCTCGCTCGACCACCTCGACGTGCATATCCTCTTTGCCCTATCACACTGGTGTCATAGCGATAGGACAGGCACAACTCCTGATCCCACGGCAACCGCGCAATCACACCAAGAGACACAACCACTGTACCGTGAGACGGCTTGTACGACCGCTTCCCTCCTAAACATGGACTGCAATAAGTAGTCCAATCAGAGCACAATCGCAGCTCGCAACAAAGGTGCACCTGAATCCTATCATAGGCTGTTCTCACCGTTAGTGACCAGCAAGTTGGCCGGCTTCAGGTCTCGGTGCAGAATGCCCTTGCTGTGTACGTGCTCGATTGCGGAGAACATCTGGACGGAGATCGTCACGGCCTCCTTCTCCTGCAGGGGCCTCTCCTGTTGCGTTCATTGCAGAAAGGAAGCGCGGTATTTCGTGTTACCGCACGGTATTCAAGTGTCGTCGGGTCTTGTTTTTTGTGAAAAATGAACCGAATTCTCACGATCGTCCCCGTCCATTGAACGTCGGAGAAACCCTCGACGATTGTCAAACTCACGCCAAAGTTTCCAACATTGCGAGAACGATAGCCACGACGAACGCTTAACCTTGGGGGGACCATTCACATCCCGCCGAAACGAGACTTGGACGGACTAGATAGTAGACACAGGAACGTGCGGGCACTCTGTGGGTGCACCGCGAGAACTACTGCTGCAAGAACAGATCGATTACTGCCAAACGATGGATACTCGACACCGAAACGAACACGTGACCGGTCACGCTGCCACTTCTCAGACGATTGCATCAACATCAACACATCATCAATACTGCAGTTGGGTATGTATTTCAATCGCCTCATCCGACGGGAGTACCAACGCCGATAAACGAGCCAACAAGTGAGGACCGGAGCAGCGAGTCTGTTGTTCCCGCACTACCCTGAGCAAATCACTATTGCACTACTGCTTGTTCATGCAACAAGGGCGTACCGCACCTTCAGGAGAGCCGCGACGTCCGAGTGCAGAAGGGGCATGATAATGAAGGTGCTGTTGTAGTTGAGTTCGACACGGGATGGCGAGGGAAGCGTGGGTCAGAAGGCAGGAACACCAATGACTCGTATCACGAGTACCACGACGGCGAAACAGAAGCGGGCGGGGTGGGGGGTTGGGCGGGGGCTGTGTAGACAGCGCCAAACATGTGAGCAAGAATTCAGTTTACCGAGCACAGCGTTTGATTCAGCACACAACATGACTCCAACTACGTGCTCAACATATCGATTCCTATGCAACAGCCCGCCCCACCCTACGAAGAACGTCGATAGCACGCCTTGCAATGGCCTCAGTCGCCTTTCGATTTCAAGACTAGAATGCTGTACATGTACGGCACACGCCGTCATCTTCAAAAGGCCTGCTGATTCGTACCACCATGGGTCGCAAACAACCCAGACATGCACAAGTACAGACAGACAGCGCGCGACATGTGAAGGATACACCTCAGACAGCACTATCCACCAAGGGAGATTGACTGGTAGAATCTCACGTGCTAGGAGTCTTAAGGGTGCCGAGGATGTCCACCACGTTCGGGTGGTGTGCGGCCATGGTCAGGGTCTGGATCTCGCGATCGATGTACTTGTCCTGCAGGAATCGTCATGTGTTGTTGGCGTTATATTCGGTGGTGTGACCCCAACGGAGAGTTGGGAATACCGTGAATGGGTTACTTCAAACGTAGAATGGCAACCGGACTTTGCTGTGCGACTGCCACCCGCGGAAGGGTTGCAAATCTCGTGTGGTTGGGAATCTATTGTTCTACCGTATGGAGTTGTTCAATAGATTTGGTGCAGCTTCGAAGCTAACCTACCTCAAGCAGGGAGTACATGATACGCGGTTTGGAGCACGCACGCAGCACGATGGGTGCTAGCAACCGCGCCAAGAAGCCAGAGAGCAAAGCAGCAAAGCACAGCAGAAGCAGTCTCGAGGGGCTATCGCTACAGTGGCCTTTGTATTTCTTGCGTTTTTGTATACTTTCAACACCGGGCGTACTTAAGCCTACTGAAAACAACATGACGACCTTGTGGCTGTGCGTCCAAGGTCATCGTGACCACTTCTCAGTGCAGAACTTGCATAGAAATACACCACCGCTCTTGCCTGGCTTCCAAAGGCGTCGCTGTCCCTGTTGATGACCTTGATGGCCACAGGCATGCCGATGCTGGTCTGACCAAATATAACCCTGGCTGCTCCAAGAGCGCGTCGAAGAACAAGACATAAACACATGATTGGTACGGACGTCAACAAAATTGTTTGGCAGATATGTACTCTACATTGCTGCATAGATCGAATACTCTAGACTACACGTCGAACGGCAAAACACAAGCAGACTAGTCTACACCATGAATAATAAATACACTGTCCAACTCAATTTTCGTTTCCAGCCTCCTGCGCATTGAACATGGCATGAATGTTCCAAAGCCGAATAGTGGATAAACGGATGAACTATTGCCGCTGTACCCAGTCGTGTGCGTGTGCAATCGCTACACCCCTACCGCTCGTCGTGCGCGGCTACACACATACCGCACATCACTTCCCCGAACAACAGTCTACAATATACAGCAGACAGCAGTGGTCAGTGGAAGCCTGGCGACCACCTGGAATGAGAGCTGCTTCCATTCTAGCCACGGGGGCAGGGGAACGCGCTCTTTATCCTTGCACCGAGGGCAATACTGTGACGATCACCAGTAGGGGCAAACGTGAGTACAGCAGTAGTCTACTTCTCGTAGACATTGAAACTAATCACGTGCTCCGTGCACCGAGACAACCTTCGTCTGACAACGCGACGAGTTGATTTACAGACGGTTCGGCTGTGCTGCAGCTGTTCGAGCTGTGCATCGCTCGCTGAGCCCATGCGGTGTTGTTTTTTTCGTTGCTCACCGAACGTGCCACCGCCAATCTCGGCATCGATGGCCTTCATCGCGACGTCTCTTGCCTCCCACTTCCGCATGGCGTTGTCGTCGCTGCGGCGGAATGATCGGGGCATGAAGGACGCCACCTCAACCTCCTCGTCTTGACCAATGACAGAAACCATCATTACCGCCGCTCCACCTGCGATTGCGTAGGTGAAGATGAGTGTTCCCGAATAAACAAACACGTACGAAGTACGACACAACCGGACTTCTGTCTTGGATCAGACACGAACAACCTTAACTTGAAACAGGCCCGAACACGCCGATGAAACCACGCCGATGGAACCATCGGATCACGGCAAGAACGGCAACGCCAGACATGCTTCGAGCATTGAACCCGCTCAAGGTCCAACACGGCTGTTAGGCTCCATGAGGGCTATCATCGCCCTATATCTCTTTCTTGCACTAGGCACAACAACGGAGTTAGGTTACTGCAGCAGCATGTGCATGCGCTTGAACGGTTAAAGCGCAGGTGCGAAATCTCTCTGGGCCTCTCGGGCGTAAGAGTAAGGTGGTTCGGTGGCATAACCNCTGTGCTGCTGTAGTTGAACTGCGGTACCGGTGGCAGACTATAATTATCCATGTCGAACTGCGCACAGATTTGGTACGAGCAGTCCAGTGAGAAGTCCACGAGAATTGCGTGTAGACAACGTTTCAAGAATATCGTTCGTGAAACGAACACAGCAGTAGCAACAACAATTTTTTTTTTTTCTTCTTAAAATGACACAACGAATTTTTGTTTGCGCCATAGTCTAGACTACAAACCAAAAGAAACACACGTACATGTGCATACTTGCAGTGTCCGCTGACGCCACGCCACAATGTGAAGTCATTGATGATTTATCTCAGACCCTTACCTATCTATCTGTGGATAGACATAATTCCTTGTGATCTTGTACGAATGAAACAACACCAAACAAACAACAAATAAATAGATAATATTACGGGTGTTGAGTTCATTCATTCCTGGAAAGGCCAGGAATTAAATATCTAAGTATTTCTTTGCTTGGTAATTTTTCTTTGGTACAAGATTGATGACGACAACAGCGGTGAACTCGATCAAAAGACAAGTCGTAAATAACTATTCGTCGTTCTTGTACTTAAGCAAAAACACCAAACAGACAAATAGTCTAAGTCTACATAGGCATTGAATTACTGCCCAGTATTAGTACGTCGCGACATTGCCTTCATCCTCGACGTGCTCACCGTTATCGTCGATCTCATTCTTCGTGTCCACAATGCTGCCGGCCTTCCTCTCCTCCGCTTCGTCGATCGCCTTGTTAACAACGTTGTCCACCCCGGCCTCAATGTTCCTAGCCTGGTCAACGCCTCCGTGTCCGCTAGCGGCAGTGGGGTTGACTGTGGCCGACATAGGGGGTGGTGAAGTGGTGCCGGTAGTAACCGAGCGAGACACCCCAATGCCAGAGGCGGAGGCAGCCGCAGAAGCGGAGGCAGCCGCAAAAGCAGCAGCAGCCGCACAAGCCGATGCGGACGTCGAACGGGGGACAGACGTGGCACTGGGAGAGGAGGTTGAGTAGAAAGTTCTCGACGCGGCAGGGTCTTCTTCGGCCATGGACTGGAAAACCGACGACAACACCCTCGACGGCCTCATGGTGTGCCCGGCCTCATCGTACTCCGCCATGCTGTCCCAAGNCCTGATATTTTGTCGTTGACCCAATAGAGAACTGCAGGGGATGGATGTATTGTAAAACGTAGGTTACCTTTGCAGACGATGTTTTTGTACTTAGCACCAGCTGACATCCCTGATATAAATCATTAGTGCGTTGACTTAGAGACTAGAAATAAGTCCAGTACCCAGCCGGTTTTACTCCACTCACTGAAAATACTCCACCACATCCCGTTCAACTGTGGGTGTCTCTCGAATTGGTAGTTTTTCTGTGCGTGTACAGATGGCGCTCGCACCTAAGGACTTTGCAGTCAAGAAATGCAGCCTCGAAAAAATCAAAAGTTAAGAACTTGGCCATAAGAACACGTGCTTAGTTCCGACGTGGTCATAATAACAATGACCCGTTTTTGTGGTTTAACAAAGCGCCTTCGGACAAGAACAGACCCCCCAAAAAGTGGCAGCTGCAAGATAAGAACTCGTGAAGGTGGTGAGGGGTGACTCACGGGGTGTCGGGTGACCCCACCCACCGGCAGTTGCAGATCATCGACGGGGAGGGGGATCTCCGTTTCAAATAATACTGGTGCGGAGGGGGGGAGGGGAGGGGCGTACTCTAATGTTTTGCATATCTTAGTGATTAGACCATTGACCACGCGTCCTCGAGAGGACGGAGTATTGTTCCCACAGGACCGAAGACCGATTTGCCAATCGTCCCCTCCTACTTTACCAAAAAAATAGGTGTCTCAAAAATGTTGTTGCTGGTATTCCATGCCTCAAACATCGCCCTGTATCTTCCTTATACTTTTCCTCAGGCTTCGTCACGTAAAACCTCCTCTCCTTGTACAACAGACATTCCGCAACTACATGAATCCGGTGTTCGCACTCGGAGCCGCGTTCACATTTTTTTACCTTGTTGTCGATGCGGAGGGGGGGGGCGGTGGTAGGTGCTTAGCTTAGTTGTACAAGGCATGCCCCTCATCGCGTGTCATTGGGGTGCCTGCCACGCTGCGTGCCAAGCACGAGAGCCACATCTATATCTCTTGAAATATTGAACGAGGTCGGCCATCTGTCAAAGTTGAAAGGAGGTGTATTTCTTGATCTACACTTAGACTAGAGGCCATCACAGAACATGTCATTGCGGGCAACTGCCCACGAAGTCAGACTGGGAGGCCAGCGAGTCGACGCGGAGGCGACAAAAGCTTTCCGACACCTCTTCCTTCGTCTTCGTCACGGATTTTCGAATTCAAGCGTCTAAACCCGCTGCTCTTGACAGTTCGTTCCTGTTTGTGGAGTACTCGTAAAACTGAGTATGGGCTGCGGGTGTCTCAGCAGCGTACCCGCCACCTTTACGACTACCGTATGCATTTCGAGCTACATGTAGACCAAAGATGCGCCGCATGAATGCCGTTGGACAAGCACAGTGAAGATGTGGGTGCGATGGTAGGGTGGTGGGCTTTACTTGAGGGGAGTGCGCCGTAGAGCAGGGAGGAGGTCCGGCATTCGAAGAGGAGGGTGAAGGTCGCAATGTAGCTACGACTGGCGATGGATAGAGCGGGGAGGGCAATCACGCCGAACGTGACCATGGACCGGTTCAACGTGTTTGCTCCGATGCGTCTTTTGTTCAGGCGATACCGCGTCTGTATTTAACTCTACCCTATCGTGATCTGCGGTACGGCGATATTCCAGAGGTCTCTGTTGAGCGACCTTCTATTATTATTCTCTGTTTTATGAACACGCTGCTCTCACGTGTCATGCTGAATCCATCCAGAAAAGAAAAAAGTCCTCCGAATGGGGCCCTCGGCGCATAAATAGGAACAGAAACCCGTGTACCATACGGATATGCCTGCTCGAAATAAAAACTTTGAAAATAAGAAAAGGTGCTGAATTTGAGGCAGCCAATATGCATCGAGCGTTGGCCAATACATGCGGTTCTTAAGTGCGGACGCGCATCTGTATATATTTTTCCTTAATTTTTTTTCGCGCGCCAAAAACCAAAGAAACACACGTACGCGCGCATGCTTGCAGTGTCCGCTGACGCCACGCCACAATGTGAAGTAATTGATGATTTATCTCAGACCCTTACCTATCTATGTGTGGATAGACATGATTCCTTGTGGTCTTGTACGAATGAAACAACACCAAACAACCAGATATATTATTTAATACTTCGTAACCACTTTGAATTCATTCCTGGACACAGATTTCCTGGTAAGGTACTGGCCAGGAATTAAATACCTATTTGTTTGCTTGGTGTTTTTTCTTTCGTACAAGATTGACGACGACAACAGTGAGTGGTGAAGTCGACAAAAGGGGCAAGTCGTAAATACTCATTTGTCGTTCCTGCACTTAAGCAAACACACCAAACAGACAAATAGTCTAAGTCTACATAGGCATTGAATTACTGCCCAGTATTAGTACGTCGCGACATTGCCTTCATCCTCGTCGTGCTCACCGTTATCGTCGATCTCATTCTTCGTGTCCACAATGCTGCCGGCCTTCCTCTCCTCCGCTTCGTCGATCGCCTTGTTAACAACGTTGTCCACCCCGGCCTCAATGTTCCTAGCCTGGTCAACGCCTCCGTGTCCGCTAGCGGCAGTGGGGTTGACTGTGGCCGACATAGAGGGTGGTGAAGTGGCGCCGATAGTAACCGAGCGAGACACCCCAATGCCAGAGGCGGAGGCAGCCGCAGAAGCGGAGGCAGCCACAAAAGCAGCGGCAGCCGCACGAGCCGATGCGGACGTCGAACGGGGGACAGACGTGGCACTGGGAGAGGAGGTTGAGTAGAAAGTTCTCGACGCGGCAGGGTCTTCTTCGGCCATGGACTGGAAAACCGACGACAACACCCTCGACGGCCTCATGGTGTGCCCGGCCTCATCGTACTCCGCCATGCTGTCCCAAGTAGGAAGAGTATCTTCACGAGCCGGACGAATGGAACCACAGGAGCGTAGGGCCCAAGAAATCCACTGCGAGCACGATTGGTCGATCAAGGCACACGAATGCACACCAACAAATGGCACACAACAAGTCGTACCGACAGTATCGCTTATGCAGAGGCTGCGCAGCATGCGGAGAAACTACGCTTGCAAGCTGCATGCCGTTTTGAGAAAGCGTCGAAGTCGAACTTGTGTTTGCCAATCAGTCATTCCACACATGCCTCGGTACCTCCTGTTGTCTACTTTTTGCGGGTCGGAGGTACTTTGCATGCAGCGAAAATGCGCTAAGCTGGCAGAAAATCCTATACGTTGATTCTCAGACGTCGGCGTGGTTGAGTTGCAGACTACCAAGTACACTTTCATAGCTTTTGCCTTACCTGTCCCAGAGGATTGGCGGGCGTAACGTCCATGTAGTCGTTCTTCGTGACCTTCCTTGACCTGCGGTTGCTGTGACGTATTGGGACAGAAAAAGAGACGGCGCACCATAGCAGTACGAGCGAAAATAACCACGTGTTAGGGGAGGGCAGCATCTCAGTATGACACCGTTCACAGTGGGCTGTCAATCTCGGAGTAAGTGCGGGGTGTATGGACGTGAGTCCGATGCATGTTGTTGCGACGCTTCAAGGGTGGTCATTATACCGTTTCTGTGCGGAAGTGCACCAAAAATGCAACAACAGCAGTAGTTAGTGCAAACGATTGACGCACAGCCGGACGGCCACAGCGTCCATCAGTTGCTACATGCTTTTCCTCTTCCACTGGATCATCATCTCAACGTCATATCATACGAGATGTTTACATGGATGGATGGATCCTCGACTGTGCGCAGCCTTGGACTATCGCCGTATTGGTTACTTCGGCATTTCGGGACTTGGGGTCCATTTATTTGTCCACAGCGCCCGAAAAGCCCAAAAATATGGTATGTCGACCCGACAAAAGGACGGACGTACTTGTAAGTTTGTTCGTGGTTTCCCCGTGAGCTAAGCGAGAAACAAGCCGATGCTCAGGAAGCACGGCCTACACCGGACGATCTCCATGTTGGAAAGCCATGTGAAAAATAAGTATGCACCCGATTAAAAAAAAACGAAAACCAACTCAAGCAAATGAAACACCAGCCGAATCCGGCTGTACAAAATGGCGAAGAATGTGCTTGAAGGCACACGGCAAGAAAGGCATGCTGTCCAGGTAAAGTTTGGTCTATACTAGTTCTGGCTGACATGTGCATGGGAAACCGAGTAAGTAGTGCTCCTGCAGAAGCGTCAAACAGCCATCGCACCTCCGGCAACGCAAATGAGTGCACCCAAATGGCTGCGGAAGCTACCGATGGACGCATCAGCGTGATTCTGACAAACAACACGGGCGTTTTCATGTGTGCGTATTTGTAAAATTTTCAACAATTTTTCAGTTTTCCCTCGCATACCAAAACTTGAATTTTACCTGCGGCAGCACCAGCCGTATTTCGAGCGAATGCGCGACAGGCACCCCCTTGCCCTCCGAGAGCACCGGCTGGGTGGTGCCGTGTCAAATATCGACATCATGTTTATACTGGAGCCGAACAACAGCAAGAGATCGTGTGCAGCGGACGACGCAACGTTGGGAAAGTGCAGGGTGGTGAGCGAGTGGGAGTGAAAAAGCCACAGGGAAGCCGCCACGAACAAACCCGACTTTCTCGCTCGCTCTTTTTCTCTTCCGCACAGGCGCGGGTCACAGCTTGATACGCCATGGTGTGGGTACCTTCGGTACAGCAGTAACGCAGAAGTAGCAGCAGCAGCAGTAGCAGCAGCAGCACGGCGTTACCAGTTGGACTCAAAACCATATCTCAAAGTTCGACTCTCCCGTAATTAGACTATGGGATGGTGTGCAGTTCGATAACCACAAGCACGCCCGTGGCCATTCACAACGCACAGACTACACCATACGGTGAAAAACTGCTTTATTTACTTCTTCCCACGACAATTATTATCAAAGCCTCAGCAGTGGCCACTTGTTGCAAACCAGCAACATACATGGTACTTACACACTGCTGACAATACAGCGGGTTCGAGTAGTAGAAAAGAGGACACCAGGATCCTACAGTTCATACTACTGTACAGCAGCAGTGTTTGATTTCATGGAGTGAGACACATCTGCACCTGTCCTATGGGTGATAGTGGCTCGAGCCTAGCTTTGTGCTGACGTTGCCTGCTATACTGGAAGCGCGACCGATTTCGATTGACTCCCAAATCGGTGCCCACGATACAGGCTCGAACAAACACGTCAGACATGTGTGCACTGTCGTTTCACAGCGAACACGAGGGGGAACCAAAGCATCCGCTGGTGACGCTTTCACTCCGGAAATATTTAAGTAATGCTTGCCCTACTCTGTACACAGATTCGATAAGCCAAGCACTGTGTGCTGAGCACGGAACACGCATCGCGGACGGTGCCAAAAGTGCCAGCGGTGGCTGGGGGCTAGAGGCGGGGGTAGCTCTACACATCCATGCCATGTCATGCACGGGATCCAGCGGCAGTCCGAGAGGGTGACGGTTCAGATCGGCGATAAAGACAAGGCATGTACAGGGAGTTGGACAGGCGCACAACGCGGGCATCAAAGCAGCGAGCACCGAAAGCAAGTACCATGCCAACATCCGTTGTCTCCCCTCGGTGTACCCTCCATTCACACCTCGCGATCCCGGAGAGTTAAGCGGGTTTGCCCTCCGGCGCTAGCTGCAGGCTAGATCTCAGCTCACCCGTCTGCAAAAAATCTGCTGGCGTGAAGATTCACCCCACTCACCCGAACCACGCGAGCGAGTGACTCCTCTTCACTTCTCTGCTGGTTCTTTGGCCCAGCTTTGGTGCCGGTTCCTTTCCCCTCGCTGTGATGGCGCGCTGTTGAACCACGCCAAGGAAGTCGCAAGGGATGAGATGTGAGTGACAGGCAGAGAGGAGCGGAGAGGAGGGGGGCCCGTCGATACATTTTTGTTGAAAAAATGCGGCTCGATTTGTCATATTTTTCAACACCGTGGGTTTGCCTCACAGTGACCCCGGGTTTTGTATTGTATTGCGATTGGAAGCGCCTTGCTTGTGGCGACAGCCAAGGTGTGTCTATAGAGGAGACTGGCTCGTGTAGGTATCTGATCGGCCGGAACTGCCAACAGGGATACTAGGGAAACAGCATGAGTTAGTGAGGGTCTCATGTCGACTAGTTACGTGTACACTGATGTTGACAACACGTCGGAGGTACATGGTGGCAAGCTGCTTCGACACGTGTTCATTCATTGTCGAATGCAAACCATACGCATCACGCCCAACACGAAAGGAGGTGTTACAAGTGCGTCGATTGACGATCCTGCCTAGCACGCACGATGGAGTCAATTGAAAGAATGTGGGTACGCGTGGAAGGTAGACTGATCAAGGCCCTCGTCCAACTACAGTACATGGATTTTTTTTCGAGACACAACGCAAAGGTGCAACCGTGTCCCCAGAGGCATTATCGGTGTTCGGGTTTCCCATTAGTCGTGAAGTAGCAGGCTTGCATGGGAAAAATGTTCGGCCGTGTCTTGGGCAGGGAGTGGAATAAACACGACATCTGAGGGCGAAGGAAAAAAGTTGCGGTCATGCTCGATGCTTCGCGTCTGCAAACTCGGGCCAAGTCAACGACGTTCCTCAAAAACAACTTCTTCGAGACGGTGGAGCGCGGCGCGTGCGCAAGGCCACCAGTCTAAATAATATGTTTAACCGCGTACCCCAGCAAGAGGAATAGAGTGGTTACTTTTGGCGATTGGCACCAACAGCAAGAATACGGATGAACACTTCATAATCTTCAGGTCGAACCGGACATGCACGCACGCACGCACGTGATCTGCAACTTAGAGAGAGGGGGGACGAATAATCCTACCAGTCAACAGTCTAATCTTGCTCATTCAACACTGGAGCTCTACAAGCTCTCGTCCATGGTTTGACTTTGGTCGTCCAAGGACATGCAGGCTTCTTTGTGTAGAGTCATTAAACTCGCACGCCGCAACACACTACCTAACCAGTACGCTTGAACACAATTGTAAGACTCGGACAACATCCGAATAACATTCAACCTCGCTGTGCGTGCAAGACCGTCACATAGGATTTACTGCGTGGCCAATCCCTGTCACCTTTGGCCCCCTCCTGTAAGCACGCACTGAGCGGGAAAACGGCAAAAACACTACACAACCACAACGCCAAGAAAACGAATATCACGGGCATCGGAAACTTGAGGTTATTTTTCCCTCCCTCCTTGCCCCCGCCCTCCTCCAACACCATAGTTTCTACGTTTCGCCCGTTTGCTGTTCCTCTTTGATAACCGTTTCCGCTGCATCAACAGCCGCATCGGCCGCCTCGGTCGCGATGACCTCTTGCTTTTCCTGTTCCGCTTCCTCCTTCACCATCATGGTGTCGGTCGAGGGAGGCACAGTAGCGGCTTTCTCGTACAGGGACTGAGAGGCGCGGTGTCCCTGCTTGAAGCCATTGCCATCCGGACCAAGTGCCATCCGCACCTGTTTTCAGGCAAGCCGCAATTTGCCGAAAGAAAAAAAAACACCCACGCAAAAGATAAAAGCGGGCGAGAGCGAGGAGATTATGGGCGGTACAATCGTCAACGTGTGCATTTTTCATCCATGCCTTGAGACATTGGGGTAGTTACAGGAGAGACTACAAGTAGACAAAGGGGAAAATGAAGGTCCAGAAAATGGCTCGATAACATCAACGACGGCCAACTATCGTGCTACACTTGTTTCCTACCTACGCGACGCTAGCTATTTACATCCAAGGAGAATAAACTACTTGTCTACACTCGCCAATGCATTCGTCCGACTCCTCGACAGACTACATACAACTCCCGCCGTTTCAACATCCCGAACTTGATATGGATCGCCTAAACGAAGATCTACCGTTTGGCGGCGGCCCAGACCACGGGGTATCTGATCTAACCTGCGGCCCCTTCTGGGAGTCACGGAGGTTGATATTCAACCGCTGCCGGGCCCCGGATAGACTCTTGAGGTCCTGTCACCAGAAAAGCACGCGAGGAACTTCGTTATGATGTAGTAGTAGTAACGATAGCAATGGGGTTGACAAGTACGACGGAACGGATGGGGACAACACTGAAAGGACCGCATTCTCCCTGGCACCACTTCTCAAAGCTACAAAATCTATGCCAGAACAGTGAGGCGGGCAGAGGGTATAGACAAAAGTTTCGACAAGTCTTACGCTCCGAATACATGACTCATGCGTCACGATTCTCACTCTCCATCACGCGAGCGTTCCCCGCCATTATCGTTCCGAAAAGCTCGCGTGTGTTCTGCTGACGACGACGGAATTCATCGCACTAAAAGGAGTGCTTATGGGCAGAGACAACGCTGACGAGTTCCAGCAAAGCGCTCACGAACCACAGGCGATTGATCCACCAACCACATCAACCCCTTTCGATTCCACTCGCCTGTACCCTTACAGCCCCGACGGCGTGGACGCCACCGGGCGGTTTTCCGCCCTTGGTCTGCGACGCCATGCGTGGGAGAGGTGTCGGCAGCACCAAGTCCACCTCGTCGCCGTTTCGCAGGGGGCCGGCAGCCCCGACCATCTCCTGCTCGGCCGGAGCATCGCCAGAAAGCAGAGACGCAAAGGCAGGGTGGATGATGCGAGGCGAGGGATGATCAACTCAATCGACTCCAGGAACCCGCCGCCGGCGTACCTGTAATTGCCAAATGCTCGCTCCGTAGAGGACAATCAAGCTTGCTGTACAGGCGTGGTGGGGATACACGCTGAATATAGGCACATACACACTGTCACAGGTATGCCTGATGCACTTCGGGGGACAGCACAACAGGCAGTTACTGTAGGTTGCACAAGAAATCACACCCGCTGGACCGATTTTCGAAGCTCGATTTCTGGGTAGGAAAACAAGTGGCGCAGTAAAAGAAGCGACCGTGCCGACAATGGCGGCGTTTGGAACAATCTCGCCGAAAGCTGTCCGAAACACATCCTTCGATTGCGGCATCCTCTTTGTCGTCGTGCAATCGAGCTTTGACATAGGTCCAGGGGGGGGGGGGATATCTTATGCAACCTACGGTAGGTGGTGCACCTGAGCACTTTCTTCCGGTGGTGAGGAAATATACTCAGGAAACGTCCGGGTCCACGGTCGACAAAGCGGTACGGGTCGACCTGCTCCTACCCCCTGCTGCCTCCAGAAAGCGACAGCAGCATAGAAGACCGTGACATATTTCATTCACTTGAAGCGGTTGCATCCCAAGCAACCGCAATACAAGTGATGTAACCGCTGGGTTATTACGCCCATGCGGCCGATCGGCACGTCGTTGCGAAGCCAACGTGATTCGAGACCCCGCAATCGAGACAACGTACCTGCCCGCCCTATCCTTTCCTACCGACAAAACGCGTACAATGTAAGCGTATTGTCTGGATCTACCCGCCGGAAAAATTAATTCACACGAAAGCCCCAAGGTGCGCCACAGCAACAAGTACGCCAGTCTGGGCGCACGGTGAGTGTGCTGCGGATCGCCGTCTAGAAGTACGTAACGAATAGTTCGGAGTCGATGCACGCACCTTAAGGAGGAAAAAGACGCGACTGGAGGCCCCCTCAGCCGTGCTCGAGTCAGCCGGACTTGATGCGGGAGGTGTTGTTGCATCGTCTGCAGTCGTAGCGACCTCGGCCGTGGCATCGACTTCTTTTTCCTCCTTCGGCTTGTCCGTAGATGCCTGGTCTGCGTCTTGGCATTGACCTTGCAGTAGCGCCACATGCGCTACCCCCGCCTTAGCGTCTACCTGAAGCACCTTGCCCCTCCTTTACAAACATCATCCGACGTGCAGGACAAACCGAGACATACAAGTCAGACCCGTTTTTCCAAGGTGTATGGTCTATGCTGTGTATATAAACCAACAACGAGTGAGAGGTACGTCGTAAACTCGACTCCTACAAGTGCATGGAGGCAATGCACATGAACGTGAGGCAAGTCTCGAGAAGCACATCTGCAGGCGCAGCAAAAGAGCAGTGCGATAAGGGGTTCAGGCGAAAATGTTGGTGTAACCGACCCACAGCAGTACCATCACCGCGGTGGAGACGTCTTCGCACGAAAAGTCTAGACCACCTCTACAATACCTGAAAACCTCCTGAGCGCCAGGCACTTCGAACGAACGGAGCGTCTAGGGGCAACATGTCGTCCCATATTCGTTGCGGAAGACGGAACAAGGGGAAAGGAAAGACGAACTACAGCTCTGCCGCCCTCAAAAAGACCTCATCCTGCAAGTTCCAATCAATCCGGATGTCGGGGTGTGGGTCGCAACCTAAACACCTTATGCTATCCCCTTCCGCCAACGATAGAACCACCACAGTACGGCACGCGACTACCCATGCCCACTGGCTTGGGTTCCCACTTTCACCTAACCGCAAGAACACATAAGTGCTTACCGGCAAGGGTACGCTGCCTTCGTGACGAGGGACACATCGCCGACGCGATGGCTCTGGTGCCGCTGGCCCCTTCTAGCCACCACGGTAAACTCCACCAAGTCTCCCCTTCCGTAAGAGACGGCACTGCCAACGGCTCCGGCCGCCGGGGTCTCGGTCGCGGTAACGCCTCCTCCATGTCTTCCTCCTGCTGTTGCTGCCGCCACACCCTTCCCTTCGGTGTCGGCCAAGAAGCAGAGGATGGAGAAACGAGGAGGGGGTTTCGGGGCTGCACCCCCCCCACCCCGACTAGCACGCCTCTTGCCGGAGGAAACCCCGTTCGGGTTGAGCAGGAGGGAGGAGGACGGTGCTTGCTCAGCGATAGAGCTCGACAGAGATGAAGAGGCGGCGGCGGCGGCGGCGACGGCGTCTTGAGGGGGGGACGCGACACGGATTCCGGCTAGGGATAGCATGCGCTGGGCCTTGCTGGCCTCTTTCTCGGCCTCCCGTGCCGACGACTCTTCAATCGCTATCCCTGCACCGTCCTCGCCCAGAGGCGTCACCTCTGCTGGTGGCGCTGGCGGTAGCTGCAGGCCGGGGGCACAGGAGGCGCGTGAACGGGGGGCGGGCGGGGGGGATACTCATAGTCGTGCATGCCGTAGTCGTTAGACCATTGACCTCGCATCCCTACAAAGCCGGGACGGAGCACGCCGGGTTCTCACCGGACCAGGCTCTCACATCACCAAGCGCGAAGCGCCGTGAGATATTCGGCGAGTCGCATGAAGGGTGCGCTGCATCCTGCTAAGGGTGTTCGGCATCTTGTGCTTACTTCCTTGCGTACGGATGACAGCTGCGTATGACTTAATTTACTTTCTGGTGCTTTCACTTCCAGAGACAGTTGTAAGCACTGTGCAACTGCCTCGAGGGTGCTTGACCATTTTAACACAACGTGGTGCGATTATTCCCCTTGCGCGGAGTGAGGGTTCTCCACCCCGCACAACATGATCTACTCGACCACCATTCATGGTTACCGCCAAAAAAACAACAGAGGTGAAAAAAAAAAGGTTACCAGGTTGCCGAGTTCACGAAGTGAATTGGCTTGTTTTACAACGTCGTTGCCATGTGACGAAAACCCAACCCCGATGGCACACATCGAGGCGGAGGGGAGGGGAGGGTAAGACCCTGGGTGAAGGGACAGAGTCGTACGCAACTTGAAATGCACGTCGGGCACCGCAGTAGGTGTGACAACCGTTGGGCTCCCGGTTTACGGAATGAGCAGGAAGGAAAGTGCGCCCCACAAGGGGAAGCCAGCAAGAGCAGCAACGCACGTCTCCCGCGCATCAACGCTATGCAACATTGTACCCTCGAGCACAGCTTCCATCGCCCCAAGTTCGGCAAGATTCGAGGCGGAGTGAAATACCATATGCTGGTGGTATCAACCTACGCGCCCCGATAGCGTACCTCGGCTGTAGCGGCGTTGTCAGACGCCTGAGCGGCAGATTTCTCCTGCAGCATGACCAGCACTCCTTCCATGCCAGCAGCACTCGCCATCGCGTCCTGTGGCGGGTGCACCGTTCAACAGAAGGAGACAGCGACAAACCTCGTTCAGGATGACTCCGATTTGGTTGAAAACCATACCTTTGAAACCATACCTTTGACCAAGCACTAAAACAGCACCAGGCCAAAGCTACCTTTTCCTTGTCGACGGTTCCGACATTCCTGGGGGGCACCACCACAACGCCCAAGGAACGGCAGGGCAACGCCTCCTCTGTAGGGAGCGTCCCCTGTCGGAGCTTGCGCACGCGAAGGCCCAGCGGCTTGCCCTGCCTCTGTCCTATCCGGAAGGCCACCTCTTGACCTCTCTTGATGATCGGGGTAGGCTTGGCATTTCCGTTGCCTGCAGCGGTGGAGGGGGTGCCCTCCACCTCGGTAGCGCTCTCAGCAACACCATCGCCACTGCTGTCTTTGTCGGTGGGAGCACTACCGCCACCATCTCCACCGCCAGCAGCAGGCGTGGCGGCGATGTTGTTGCTGTTGCTGTCGTCAGGCAGCACCTCAGACAGGTGGAAGAATACCCTCTCGTCCATGTCCAGCACCTGGTGCATTTGTTTTCCAAACAACGGGCAGGAGAGCGGTCATCGCGAATAGAAAAAACAGCATCCGGAGCGCGCGACGCAAAGTAGTGTGTGCTTCATGCATGCTCTGGTGTGTGCTTCCATGAGATTCACGGGTTTAGGCCAAGCAGGAAATGGAATAATGTGACATGACATCGCAGAGGACCCAACACCAGTCGGTCGCGGTCCGAAGGGCTTCACGTTAACGCACCTCAATGAAACCGTAGTGCCTCTCCAGCTGCACCAAGGACACCACCCCCATATACTCTTGGTCCTGGCCGTTGCCATGCTGCTGCCCGCCGCCGCCGCCGCCACCGCTGGCGCTGTTCGCTGAGCTGTTGGCGTTGCTGCCCTGCGGCGAAGCTCGTTTGGTGACCTTCACGTTGGTCGCACGTCGCTTCATGTTCCTGCAGAGGGGTATGATAGGCGCACGTGCAATACAAGGGTTTTATGAGACAACGAAAAAGCGGTTTGGTTTCGCCCCTACAAACGTGTGTGGCATGCCGTGCCTTGTTGCCTTGGAGGTTCAGGGGGGTGGGTGCTCATGTGAGGAGTGAGGTCATTCAGGCTGGCCCCCACAACAAGCGTCTTTTCCTGCTAAACATAGCCGAGCGAGGTCGACTCCATCCAGGACATGACACCCCGGATACAACGACACTCAAATCACCATAATCGACACGTGACTCGAATCAATCTCCTGACACCAGCCGTCAAACATCACCATCACCCCAAGCCTTTCAAAATCAGAACACAACTGGAGTCGACGCAACTGATCAGGCTCCCTCAACCTCTCGTGCTCGAGCAAAAGCAACCACGGTCACCCTTTCACCCGTTGGCAGCAACGGCGGGAAGAGCAGCACAAAAACAGCAACCGCAACACACAGACAGACTGCAGCACACAGACAGACACGCTCGCTCACCCCCTGTTGAGCACGACGTCGAAGGTAACTAGGTCCCCCCTCAGCGCGGCCGCGGCATACCCCGCAAAGCCCTTCTCCGTCCGAAAGTCTTGAGTTAGTTTAGACTTGGACGGCCTTTGGGGGGGTACATTCCCCTGTGCCCCCTCTCCTCCGGCCTCTTGTTGCGTGTTGGTGCTGGAGACCTTTTCTTGGTCTTGGAAGTTGTCATCCGGTTTGGCGGAGGCAGTATCTTCTCGGGAAAAGGGGACGGATTGCGACCGCTCCCCGTTCTAGCATGAAAAAAGGCGGGAGAGGAGGCGGGGGGGGGGGGGGGGGGGGGGGGGAGAGGGGGAGAGAAAGAGAGAACATGGGCAGAGAAAATGAGTAAGGAGTCGTTGACAAGACAAACTGCTTGGTAGACGCCGTACCATCTTATGAAATTACATATGATCGAGCTATGGCAACATTGCGCGATTTGTACCAATGGAGTTGGGTATGTAGGCGTGTTGCGTCGCCGCACAAAGAACTACAAGGTCGCCCTCCAGCTCTGGAATCATACAATACAACCCGTAGGCGTAGCCTTGACCATTCCACGTCAAAGCTTTGAAACAACGATGGCCGTACAATTAAGATCTTCACAAAGTGGTCATGGCAAACACAGTGACGGGGTTTCATCACACGCGCAATTCTACTGCTTACCTTGCTTCTTTCTTTGATGGCGTTGGATCGTTGTTCTGCCCTCTTGCTCTCGGCCTCTCTGATGGACACCGCTTCCTCCTCGCTCTCCGGCTGTCATTTAGTCAGTATCCTTTGTCATTTAGTCACTATTTCTCATAATCGCGAAGCCTTTTCCTCTACCCACCCACGGTGTCATGTAGGAGCGGCAGCATCGAAACAGATAGTCGTGATCACTATCATCACATCCGTGTTGGTCCATAGTACTCCATGTCGTCCCCATCTTCAAGGGGCATGGTTTGCCGCATCGTGCTTTTCTTGTCTCCAACATGTTTCTCGTGTCAGGCCATAGCGTAGCATCGTCACACCGTGCTTCGTGCCAGATCCACTACAAATATTACACTTTCTACCATACCGCCGCGTCATTGGGCAATCTTGGCACGTTCCAGGCGATCCTCATTTGCAACAAACCTATCACGTATCCTCCTGGAAAAAAAAGCTAACGCAAGGTCTCCACCCCCCCCCCCCCCCCCCCCCCCCC